GAAAGAAAGCAAATGACTTACTAAACAGCTCTCCTCTAAAAGCAACCGCCTGCCCCTAGTGAAGAGTTCTTCAACTGTAAGGTACAGAATGTGCATTTCATCCAAAGAAACCTTACTGGGAAGTGCCAGTGCAAGCACAGGATAGGAATATGACACTGACAGCCAAAGACAAGCAGCTTTTCCTCTTTAGAAAAGAAGCCAGTGACTAGCCAAATGAAGGAGAGAAGTAATCTCCAAAAGGTCTCAGAATAACAAAAATTTCTGTTTGAATTCAGTTAGAAAAGAGAGACTCATCATTTATTCAGCTATACACCAAAGAAGAACCAGACAGCTAAACCACAGCACTTCCCAGTGGTGTGTTTTATTCCAGTTCATGGAGGGAGCAGGTCTGCTCTGGAATATGAGACCACCAAGGTAAATTGGATTGATCAACCCTGACTCATGAGATGATATCTGAAGATGCAACTGCAATCATCTCTTTATCCCCAGCTTTAGTGACAAAGCTGTACTGCTCCACAGAGACAACCACCAGCTATGCAGGACAACCAGCTGTTTGCTTTAAGCACCTTTAGCTTTCCAAGTAAAAGAAGGAAGCTGCCAAGTGTCCCCTCTGGTATGACCTCAGTGCAGCCGTGCCCAGCACAGGCAGCAGGTAACGAGAGGCACCGGCAGCCGGGGGTCTCTCCTGTCACATGATGAAGTGCTTGTGGAACAGGATGACCCTTCACAAACAAAAAACACAACAGCAGTCTCAAAGGAAAAACAAAGTTGTTCAGTGACAGTGGAAGGTGAGCTGTCTGCTTTTATTGATTTGTGTTTGTGCTACAGAGTAACTGCTTCATGCCTAAGGCTGAACAGTAAAGGTGATGGTTTGCACAAGGAGGTAAATCAGAAGGCAAGTGTGACACTCTGACAGGAATCTTTGAAAAGGGAAGTCATTTGACATGATCAGCAACCATCTGAAGAGCATCTGCAGAGATTTTAAGGTACCTGTTGCTGTATTATTCAAATTACTTCAACAAAAAAGCTTAAAAAAATCAGTTTCTTAGCCCCAGCATTGAGACTATACTACAATGAAGCCAATTTTGAAGTAAAAGGAGGACATTTTATCACTTCTTTTTTATATAATCCCTCGGTAAGATTTCACCTCTCAAGAAAAATAGTAAGCAAGGTGATATTCAAAGATACACTCATATTTCTTTTACTTACAACTTTTACTCCCATCATTCAGAAACTAGAAATAGCTTCCCCCTCGCCCCCTTTTTACAGCTCAAGGCCTTTTGACTGAAAAGGAGAAAGCCACTCCATTCCTTCCCAAAATAGCAACAAGATTAAATTTAACTGCTGCTTTACTACACGAAGGACTCTCAAATGCAGAAATATTACTACCATGTTTCTTTAAAAATTCATTAATGTCCTTTTCACCCTACAATTACATAAAGGGCAATAAGGAAACTACAGTATTCGGTGTCCTGTATCACATGTAGAATATGTGAGCAGATCAAAGTGGCTCATTTTCATCAGATTAAGTTTTTTGAATAGCTTAATTCTCACCTCCTTTCTTCATTCATCCACTAAGCACAATGCCCTAAGTCTTCTTAAAGATTCCACTGAGGATAAAATTCTCTTCCACCACCCAGAGAAACTTCACCATAAAGACTTTTACATTTTTGTATTATAGAAGGATTTTCAAATACAGTCATTAGCTTTTTTCCCCCCACAAATTCACTAAAAACTATGGGTGCGTGATGAGTATTTGAATTTGGACTGCCTGTACACTTTTGAAGCAATTCTCCAAATTATGGCCACTTACTGCTCTTTGGTTCCATTGTTTAGCACCAGAGCTAAAGGGAGGTTCCCTTCTGGACCAGGCTAAATTGAAGAGGAGCTGCAAGAGCAAACCTGCTGCACTCCCCACTGCAATCCAAGCACACCCAGCATTCAGTGCAGACCTCACCAGAGGTGCAGTGCACGTGTCAGACCCTCAGGGTCAACTCTTCCACTCCACACACACCCTTCCAGAGGCCCACACAACTTGCCAATGTATTAGTAGATCAAACCTAAAGTTGGTTTCATAAAGCTGGGCAATTGAATTTATATCAGCAACAAAAGGAATCTTCAAGGAATTAAGTGTTAAGTACTATTGAACTTCAGCTGCACTTTCAACTGATCCTTCTAAAAGGGACATAGGCAGCAACAGTCAGAAGACCATTGCTGATGAGACAACTCAGCAAAAATGCCTTTAGATAGAAAAGTAGCCTGGCTCAAGTTCAAGTGTTTGACAAACCCAAGATCTAGTCAAAAATTATGGTTCTAGATTTCCAAAGTCGTTCATTCAGTTCCATTAAAATTAGCCCAAGAAGCAAAACTTCTAAAATAACTTTGGAATGCACAAACATATTTTTTCATTCTTCTCCTGGTCACTTAATATCTCTGCATGCAATTAGATTGACTAAGGACTTGATATCATTCTTATGTCTTCCTTTATTCTCCTCCATGCCCAGATGCATCCTATACTAGACAGGAAGACCTAGTCTGTCCAGTTCTGAGTATTACAATTCCATGTAAAATCACACAGCAGTGTACAGACATAAATGTGCAAATATATAGTCACTTTTGGTAAAAAAAACCAATGTCAAAGAACAACTAAATGAAGCATATATAAACCCATAAAAATGTAGGCCTGGGTTTCACATGTGCAGTGAGGTCCAGGCCCTCCTCAGCCCTCCTTTCTCTGGCCACCAGTGCTGGAGCACTCGTGTGTTCAGACCCAGGCTGGGCAGGCCCAGGGAATCCCTGCCCACCTCCCAGGGGGGTCAGTGCTCCTGATCCCTGGAGCTGGACAACCTCTGGGATGACACGGGCACAGCAGGCACACAACACTCCCAGGGAACAGGCTGGATTGCACTGGAGATTGTCACTGCTGCCAAAGGAGTGTATTTCCCAAGTTTTGTTAGGAAAAAAACAGTGTTGCTTTACAGAAGTCAGGCCACACAGTGGACTGTGTATTGGCTTTTAGATTTGTCTGGATTAATTAACTATAGACAACTATTAGTAATACCATTATTGGTCACTGGAAGGTAGTTTACATGGGATACTATAGCCTACAACAAAAATAAATACTCCTGGATATTTTATTACCCTTTAGCATATGCTTATTCAAAAATAAATATTTTCTGTCCTTCTTGTGTTTCATTCTGAAGTGTTTTAGGAAGTCTTTCATAATATATTTCACAACAAATTTGTATTTGCACATTTCAGCTAAAAAGATGTAAAGAATTAAAGTTTATTTACTTTCAATACATTTTGTTTGTGTAATTACATTTGAAATAAAAAGTCACAGCCCACATTTACATAAACTATTTTGAAAGTTCACATTAAATATAAATATTTGTGAAGTTTGAAATAAAGTCAAGTAAGTGCTTTTGTGGAACCATTTGCCCAAATACCTTAAACAAGACTTTCCTAGTTTGCTAAGCCAGTGTTTAATCACAGTAATCCTTTGTGGGAACAGAGCAAATACTTCCTTCATTTTGATGTATTTAAAACTCTCTGTCCATTGTCTAACTACTTAAATTTTAGAAGCCAATTAGGAACCTAAAAGGAAGGTATGGTATTATTTCTTTTCCTCCAATTTAAATAATCAAAAAGAAAATTAAATTTTCCCAAGCCTCAACTTTAAAGGATATAGTAACCAGAACTATTCAAATATTTCACTAGTTACAGGGGAAAAAACCAAACCTTCACTTTTGTTTAATAATTAGCTTCAATATAAAACATGTTTCGACCAGCTTTTACTTTTAAGAAGCTTATATATTTTAATGGGATTCCAACTTCCTTCCACATACAGAAATGACTTTCAGAATATTCTAAGTTGTTGGAATGAATGCTGTTGGGCAGCCAGTGCTGTGAGTTATAAAGGAGACCCAAAGGTGATGTGTGTCCCCCCTGGGCTGGCACAGCCCATGTACAGTGCTGTGAGTTACAAAGAGCAGACCCCAAGCTGATGTGTGTGTCCCCTGGGTGTACAGACCCCAAGCTGATGTGTGTGTCCCCTGGGTGTACAGACCCCAAGCTGACGTGTGTGTCCCCTGGGTGTACAGACCCCAAGCTGATGTGTGTGTCCCCTGGGTGTACAGACCCCAAGCTGATGTGTGTGTCCCCTGGGTGTACAGACCCCAAGCTGATATGTGTGTCCCCTGGGTGTACAGACCCCAAGCTGATGTGTGTGTCCCCTGGGTGTACAGACCCCAAGCTGACATGTGTGCCCCCTGGGTGTACAGACCCCAAGCTGATGTGTGTCTGTCCCAGCTGGGTGTACAGACCCCAAGCTGATGTGTGTCTGTCCCAGCTGGGTGTACAGACCCTAAGCTGATGTGTGTGCCCCCTGGGTGTACAGACCCCAAGCTGATGTGTGTGCCCCCTGGGTGTACAGACCCCAAGCTGATGTGTGTCCCAGCTGGGTGTACAGACCCCAAGCTGATGTGTGTCTGTCCCAGCTGGGTGTACAGACCCCAAGCTGATGTGTGTGTCCCCTGGGTGTACAGACCCCAAGCTGATGTGTGTCCCAGCTGGGTGTACAGACCCCAAGCTGATGTGTGTCCCCTGGGCTGGCACACCCCATGCACAGACAGGCACTGCCCCCTCAGCTCCCAGCACTCCACCGAGGCAGAGGACACAGGACAATCACCTACTAATGACTCCTAATTTACAGTCTGCTCAAAGTGCACCAGTCTAATTAGAGACTTTGCAAAATACCTTTATAAGATGCATCTCTGCTTGTTTTAATAAATCTGATAATACATTATTAGACATGACTTTATTAACTGCTTTTCTGCTTAGGATTAAATTATTCATGGTGAGTTGTTCTGTCCCCTCTATTCAGTCAACTAAGTACTATAATAAACTAGAGGTTTTTCCTGTTTTGCCCCCAAAAATGAAATGCATCCCTAAAAGGGGCAAAGTTAATAATATAGCAAAATGCCACATGGTCAACTTACCACTGCCACAGCATCACTAGAAAGAACAGCTTGAGCATCCAGCACTGTATAGTAAGCTACATTGGTCATAATATAGATAACAGTCACAATTGGCATAGACACTGCAATAGCCAGAGGTAAGTTCCTGGAAGACAAAAAACACCCAGACCCCACAAGAGCAGAAAAAAATTCCATTAATAACAGAATAAACTTAATTTATTTGCATCCTTTACAAAAGACAGAAGAGTTATGAAGCCAGAATACAGATTTCAAAAAAGGTATCTCTGGAACCAGGGTTTGGTTTCTCTTAAAACTAGAAATTCTAATACAGAATACTGGAAAAAAAAAAATCTAATTTTTACAATAACTTAAAGCCTAAATTATGTGTAAAAACTGATTCTATGCAACTGTTCTTCAAATACTCCAACTTCAAGGTTTCCAGATCTGTAATAACAGCCTTCACATTTACATGCTTTAAATTATTTCCATGTTAATGACCACAACCAGAACCCAAAGAGGCAGAGCACTGAGTCACTGCACTCCTTCTCCCTGGGAAATGCAGCTGTTCTTCCACCACCTGCTTCTAGGACTGATGGAGGGAGATCTACTAAAGCAAACCAAAGCCCTGACCTTCCATCTCCCCCACCATGCAGAGGACAAACAATGGCTGCATAACTGCAGAGAACAGAGGTGCAGATCCAGAACTGCCACACAGCTCAGGATGTGGGGTATCTCACTAGCAAGCACAGGTCTAGAAAGCAATAGGAAAAAGAGTCAAGAGTAATAAGGAAACACTGCTAACCATTAGATGTAAACAGATAAGATTTAATTGTGAGATAAACTCACAATGCTGAGTCTGCAGCTCCACAGAAAGAAACCAGAGAGCAAAAGCAAATTTCTGATGGTAGGCTTTGGCTTTTCTCAGCCTTATTCTTTCCTCAGACCTTGCAGGGATATTCAAATGTTTCAAAAAGGGAAGCAGAACTGCGTGTGTCACTCTCACACTTGTCCAGTATGAAATCAAACACAGCATGGTGACATCAGTGAGCATCTGCCAGGAACACTGTTTTCAGCAGCAACAACAAAAACAATGAAACCCCAACAAAGCATAAAAATTATCAGTCTGACTAAAACTTTGGAAGCTTCCTCAAAAACTTCCTGAGGCCCAGAAGTCCAGCTGTGTCCCTGTGATGCTGTGGAAGCAGAAAAACAAACATACACCACAGTACCCCATATCAAATCAGTAAATTAGTAACTGGGAGTTCTGCTTCCAGGTTGCACACTCACAGTAAGAGACCCATGAACCTCAGCACGGAGAAGAAACAGAACCAGAAAATCACTGAGAAATCAATTCAGAAATGTTACATAAAGTAACAAAAAGCTGAAATGGTATTTTAAGGACTTTGCATCATCCAAGATTAAAAGCCAAGCATCTATGTCAAACTTAACTTGTGGATGGCAACTTCTGAGTGGACAAGCACGAGGGCACTACGAGTCAAGTGAACGTGAAAAACACGAAATTGTTGCAGTAATTTGACAGAAGTCTGGAATCCCTCTTTATCACCCAGAACTGTCCATGCAGAAAGCTGAAATGGGCAGTTCACCTTAATAACTGCAATTCTACCAAGAACAAAGCTTGTGTTAGGCACTGAAGCCTAAAGAGAGCAAATGACTATGATGAAATTTTTATCAGCTGCACACCCTGTGAGAAAATCAGAATGACCACACTGATAAACAGAACACAGACTACAATCAGGTACCTGTTCCACTGCAATATTGACAACTACTGTAATAAACAGCAGCAACATCTTGAACTGAAAGCTTATCAAGCACTGAATACAGCATCCACCAGTCATCTAGATGTATTTATTCTTACTTTTTCTTTCTTTCCCATTTTTAATGGAGTTTAGGAAATCTTTGCTAGTGGCTGTTCATAGCCTCACCATCTCAGTATCCAGCAGTTCTACTTGTTTCTGTATAAGCTCAGAACCCATTAGTGAATGACAGCCACAAACAAAGCAACTTAGGAAGTATCTGGTTTTAGAAAGCTTGAATCAATTTACCTTTCTGGGTTTTTGATTTCTTCTGTTACAAAATTGAGCGTATCCCAACCAGAGTAAGAGAACAAGGCAGAATATAGTGCAAGGGAGATGTCTCCAATATTAAAAGAGGATCCCTCAAAAGAGTTCTCAAAGTGTGATGTATGCCCTGTGTGTGAAAGAGATGCAATGAAGGACAGCATAATTAAAATACAGCAAATAACGTGCACAAAAAAACCTCAGAAACCCTAATTCCTTCAAATCTGCTTAGATCTTTCTTCCAGTTCTTCTCTCTGCTTTAGCCATGAAAACAAGCAATTAAAACTACTAAAAATTATGGCATGTGGATGATACAATTAAACACCTCGTTTGTCCACGATGGCACAAGTTCAGGAATATTAAGTTCAGACTAAGCTACAAACAACTGGCAACAACAGTACTCAGGCTAAGAGTACTTTTTATAACATATGTATTTATAAGATAATCGACTCTAGTCTTCTATACCCTTTTAAATTTCCAAACATTTTGCCTATGCAGAAAACAAAGCTTACAGGTGTTTTTAGATAACTGTGACAAATAACCCCACACAAACATCTAAGTGGATGCTTAAGTTTTTGCTATTAAAAACTGAATACTGAGAAAAATTAACAGAACTTTAAATATCACTGTTACTTTTCCCAAGCTAAGAGGAAAAGTTACGGTTTTTGCACCAGTATTTGTGAAAACTTGTGCCATCTTTTGACTTTAAGCAACTCAAGACAAGTTCATCAATCACAGTTTATACATTCAGACTGTTTTACACAAACAGACACATGCAAACCCACCAAATACAGAAAGGCCAGTTACTGTGTAAGCCAATATTTGCAGCCTCTCAAATATCTTTATTTTTCTTCCCTGGTTTTTATCCCAATCAGATATAGGGTTGCTATTCCCTTGGCACAGACACTGCAGAGTAACTGCTGAGTCAGAAATGGAGATGGGAGACGATGTGAAGGGAGCTGAGAACAAGCTCAACATCTGCAAAACAGGGCTGGGCTGGTGTGCTGAGGATGAAACACCTCCCAGGGGGCTCACATTCTGCATGTCCTTGTTCCATTCACAATAATTACCTTGCTCTTGAACTCTCAACAATAACCAGTTAGAGCAAAGGATGTAAACTGCCAGACTGCGGGAAAGACAAGCCTTTACGGCAGCAGGGTCAGTTTTTTAAGCTAACACACCAATAAAATCTCCTCAAAGGAAGGGCTGAGAACAAAACTAAGTTCAGAATTTCTATAACTTAAAGGCCAATGCCCAACACACACACACACACACACACACACACACACACACACACACACTCTCTCATTCTTAACAGCTATAATAAAACTCAGGCTTTGAGCAAAACCAGAGCTGTTATTTCACAAATCTTCCTACATATTCTATTTTTGCTTTAATTTCAGACACTTTCAGACTTGCACAAAATTCCTTCTGTAAAAACACATATTCAGTAGATCTCACTGTAAAGCAGTATGTTCTTTACAGGAATTTACAATGTCTCCACTCCCATTGTATTTTGCTGTCTCTGTATTTCACTGTTTAATGTCCTTTATTATCCCATCCTGCAGGCTGTAAAGTACAGGATTGCTGAGCCATCCAGTACCTTTTTTTCCGCAGTTCAAAGTCAACTGAGATAGGCTGGATATCTCACGATACAGTACCATGATAATGCCCAACAATGGGGTTACTGCTGTTTTCAAAGGGGCTATATCATCCTTCTGCTGAGGCATAAAACATAGTTTGCAGCCTGTAGACAGTTACTCGGTTTAACTGATAAATACAAACCTTTGCTTTAATTTTACAAGCTTACCCTGGCATATTTTAACAATTCCAGCTATGATGATGGCAATGAGAGCGATAACTTTGGCATAAGTAAATATATCCTGCACACGTGTTCCCCATTTAACATAGGCACAGTTTATAAATGTTAAAAGACCTAGGGGAGGAAAAAAGAAGACAAATTAAAAGACCATTTGAACAATGTTCAATTTAATTCATTTTTCAAAGATTTTAATTGCAATCTAAATACACACTTACCTGTTATACAACTACTTAGGTTCAACTAAGCCAAATACACTAGTACTGAAAACACACTGGTTCAAACAAAAGAGCAAAAAACAGTTCTAAACATTGTTTCAAAAGATGGAAGGAAAGATCTTCCCCTTCTCTCATTACATGCCCATTTTCCTGATGTTACCCCTCATCAGCTGCACTCTGCAACTATCCTGCCATTAAAGAAACTGTTACATGAAATAATTCATTTCAATGTATCAATACTATTCTGATAAATGAAAGATTAGAAATTCCTTTAGGCAAACATATTAAAAGAGTGTTTGATAAGTTTTATTATCCTTCCTTGCTAGGCTCAGGATGAGTTCAACATCCATGGAGCAGCTGCCACACCAAGTATGGTCCCAGGTGATTCAATACCCCTCTCCAGTTCTATTGAACTGTATTTCAAAGAGAGAACAGGTCTGAGCAAGGAATTCACAAGGACATGCACTGATAGGACAGGGGGTAACGGCTCTAGGAAGGCAGGGAGATTAGATTAGATTAGATTAGGTATCAGGAAGAATTGTTCCCTGGGAGGGTGCTGAGGCCCTGGCACAGGGTGCCCAGAGAAGCTGTGGCTGCCCCAGCCCTGGGAGTGTCCAAGGCCAGGTTGGATGGGGCTTGGAGCCACCTGGGCTGGTGGGAGGTGTCCCTGCCCAGGGCAGGGTGGGATGAGATGAGAGTCCCCTCCAACCCAACCCATTCCATGGTTCTAAGAGCATGTGCTTTAGTTAACACAACAGTCACCTGGAACTTCAAAACTGGTAATAAGTCATGAGTATTCTGAGTATACTTCTCCCTCTACCCCAAAATAAGTTAGAGTCAGACCTGTTTCACAAGACTGCAATGAAATTTGAAATGAGACTTGCAGATCTCACCAATATTTTAGAGTTGCTGACTAAGCTTACGCACATGATCAGCTTCCCCAAGAACGTTTTCATGGCCCTCAACATTTTGCTTTTGCATTTCTTACTTTTTTTTTTGAAGGGGAGAGCTAGACAACCTCTACCTTAACTGAAGGGCTGAATATTGAACAGGAGTCAGTATCTTCAGTACTTACCTAACAAAATCCTAATTCAGTGCATATTTTTCTTAGATTATCACTACATTATTTAAACTTCTGTGTTAGAAACAATATTTCCCCCAAATCTCATATTTTCTCTGGGTAGTAAAAGAGTGGTCATATTCTACCAGTTTTTATCTCCAAAGAATTTTCTCATACTTAAAATATGCATATAAATAGACACTAAATTGGATTGTTTCAGGAGTAAGGTAGTAGCAAATAAAAGTCAAATGAAAAGATGTGATACATTATTTCCTTTCTCAGAATCCAAGAATACTGTGATACTGTTAAGCTAAAAATGAGCTACCAAATTGAAAAGCACTGATTCTTCAGAGGTAACAAAAAGAAGGTAATGATCTCAAAAGCATGGCACTGGCACGTTAGACAGTCGGGCCAAGCAGAGTAGCTAAACAAGATTCTATTGAGTCCACTGAGCTTGGCAAGATGAGGGAGAAAAAACAGTTGTATCAAATTTCAAAAGCCAGGACTGCTGCAGCTCCCAAAGAGCCCTCAGGAAAACAACCAACTGCTCAGTCTCTGCTCCTCAGTTTTAGTGATCAGAGTATTTGCTTGAGGTTTATTTCAGCCTTTTTTTTCAAAGCAACTTTTATTGGGAGTAATTACTATTACTGAGTTAGGGCTTGGTCTCTACTTCAGATGAAATGCTACTCTGCCTCTGACACCTTAAAAAAAAAAGAAAGATAGATAATCAAGAATCTAATAAGCCACACCTCCTCTCTCTTTCTTTTACTTAAATTAATCTCTCATGCTTTCTTCAACTTCATTATTGTTTAGCTACTTAAAGTTCCTGAGAACTGTCAAGTTTTGGTTCTGCAGCACACAGGTTTTCTGTGCACACAACACCTCCACTTCTCAACACAGCTACAAACAGGTACTGTAGTACTGATGTTATGGTTCATCACAAGCATAATCTGGAATGAATGTTTTTTGAAACCCTACCAGAGTAGTAAGTAGACTTGGTAAGATCTGTTTTACTAAAACTTACTGTGGATAAAACACTGCCCCCAGTGAACCCCCAGAAATACTCACATTCACAGGCAGCTGCTATGAGACGACAGGCCAGATACGGAGGGTCACAGGAAGGGAAGAAGGGCTGAACTATGTAGTTAGCAAAGGTGATGGCTATAATTGCTTGGCTGGTTGGCTCAACAATGAGCAGTGAGGTCCACAAACGAATAAAAGCAATGAAGCTCCCAAAAGACTCCAAGATATATGCATAGCTGGCTCCTGACTTTGTAATGGTGGTTCCAAGTTCAGCATAGCAGAGAGCTCCGAAGACTGAAAATATCCCTCCCATTGCCCAAACTACCAGAGACAATCCATAAGATCTGCTGTAGATGAGAACTCCTTTGGGAGAGACAAAGATACCTGAACCAATCATGTTGCCTACAATAAGGCTTATCCCATTTAGCAAAGATATTTCTTTCTTCAGTTGCAAAGCATTTTCACTTCCATGCTGCGTGGTACTTGGATCTGTCCTTTCTGATTTACTGACGGGGCTGTATTCAGCCCCTGACACGTGGGACTCTGTACCATCTGTCCTCTCTGCCATTGTGGACGGACTGGGAATTCTCCACGACTCCAATCACAATCTAAAACAAAATGAAACAGCTGAAATCATTATTTTTTTTTTTTTTTATCCCAAGACTTTCTTGCAAAATCTTCTTTCCATCCTTTTGGACGCTGATTTACAAATACAAATTAAGAAATTGCCTTCATATTGTTTTTTACACAAATTCATGCACAGTGAAACAGGAAAACCGACTCACAACAGAGAAAGAGACAAATTCCAATACAACTTCAGACCAGAGAGGATTCTTACCTCTAGGAAAACAAACAAACAAAACCGTAGGACAGACGGAATTCAGGGACTCCAGTTTTGAGCAAAACAGAAGAACGAACAGAGAGAAGCACAGTGAGATGACACAGAAAAGCAAGCACTGCAGGACCAAGATGAAGTTGTAAGCATGAAGCCAGAGGTACTGCAATACCAAACACCTAATTTAGGAGTGCTCCAGTCCAGGGCTGCACGTTACTCATGCAGGGCGGGCAGAGGTACTTACTCCAGAATCCCCAGGATCCAACTCTACACTTCTCACCAACACTATGGGTCACTCCCTCCCCAAAACTATTTCCAGATCTCACTGCCTTCTTTCTTGCAGAAGAAGAAAGTTATCTAAGATTGCAGGCTCTACATGAAAAAACCCAGAGTAGCTTCAATCCAAATTCCTCCATTAGCAGCTATACTGAACAGTATCTAAGAACACAGAAATCAAATAATCTCTTTCCTCTGTTTCAGAACTGACCATTTGGAAAAGAGCCACCTTCTTTCAAGTCTCCAGAAAATTCTCCCATGCCTTCCAAAAGCAAATCACTGCTAATAAGATTTCTTAGCACAAGAATATACTGATAATTCTGAATAATGTCCATTTTATAGAAGTTCAAGTAAGAAATAATCTATTCCAGGAACAATCTTGTATGAAGAAATGAACATTTGATTACTAGTTTATCAGCTGCATAAAGAGTAGGCCCTACATAATTACCAAAATTAATTTCATGACCGTTCATTTACCCTGGGCCTCATCAAACCCTCAGTGTATACTTCAGTCAATAACTATAGAACAGAAAAAACGAAGTTGAGGTCAACTAGAATAAAGTAGGGGAGGGAGGGATGAATTTGTGCTTTTTTGGGGTAACACTAATTTTACCAAAGGTTTTGTTACTGCAACAATAGACTTGTCAGCTGAGAGAACCAAACCCCTGAATATGGGGATTTTGAAAGGTCAGCATGCAGCCACCCAAACTAGATGTATATCTGTGCATCTACTAACACAGGAACATACAAGGTCTTCCTTCACTTACAGGGACACACCTTTCTGGAGGGAATATTATTCCTTTATCATAAAGCCAACACCTGTATACTACAGTACAGAAAATCTGACTTGACATCCCTAAACCAGAATAAAGATGTGAAAATGATAAAGATTATTTTCAATCAAGTAACAAAAAGTAACTTCTACTGAAATGGAGTACAAATCGTTTATTGAAACGTTACATCATTCATCTCCAACTCATGAATCCTTAGAGATAGTGTTCTTCTAAAGAATGCAAAATGAGATCCTCAATCTGTTTAGTTGGATGCCTTCTGATTTATTTTCCCCTCAGTACTCCAAAGAAACACTTTAAAGATGGCTAATTACTAAATACATAGTTTATCATTTATACATGAGTCAACATCTTATCTGGTGTCATACATACATCAGAAGCCATCACATTTCACACTTACAATTAGACTAAAAATTTTCAACCTTCCACAAACTGATCTCTGCTATTTCAGAACTTAAAAGCTTGAGTGTTATAATGAGGCACGTCCAACAAAATAAAACTAACCGAGAGAGGGATCCACACAGTTTCTACAGATGAGTGTGCCCAAAACTGCAAAAGAAAAGGAAAGCATATTTACCTCAACAGTTGTTACCTCTTCTCCTTGTTATTTGCTCTTCCATCTATCTTGTGCCAAATTCATTTGCAATCACATACTGGCTGACTTTCTGTTATTGGTGTAGTAGAGTTAAGTCTTCAAAAAGACATGTGGCCTATGAGCTCACAAGATTATCTGGTTTGCTTTACAACAGAAAGATCAGTTATTACTCTGTAAATGAATATAATTATTATAATAATTGTAAACACGATGCAATCATCTGAAAGCTGTGTAAAACAGCAGAACAAACAGTCAAAGCAGATATTTTCATTACTAATTTGGCTGTAAAAAGTGGATTTAAGGGAACGCTTGTGACCCATAAAAGTAACATTTAATTCCAAATTGAGTCTTCTCATGTCTACAAAATGAACTCAGACAGAACATTAGTTGCAAATGTATTTCAGAAGGCAAGTCATCCTGAACAAACGTCAGTGGAAAAATCAAGAATACTACAGCTATTATTACGACATCCAACTGCCAGCCTGGAAATATGCCATGTTCATTTTCAGCCTTTCCAGCTAAAGGATAAAACTCTGTAAATATGAAGAATTCATCACAAATGTAAAACATCATTTTGGTGATAACCACACATGATTTTCACTCCACATATCCTAATCATCATTCCCGTTTCTTCCTGGAACACCTTTCAAAGTACAGTTTGATAAGAAGCATACACTTTACTTTGAATACTCAGGCATTGTGATGGTTTGACTTGATTTAAATCAATTGAATAATTCAAATCACATCAAATCTGCTGTGTTCACACACAGGCAGTTTTGCACTAAGAGTAACTGTGATTTACCTCATGGTCTGAAGCTCAGAGGTAAATTTAATTACCTGCAACTACCAGTGACTGTCACTGTTCAAATGCCTCCACCTCAATTAGCAGCACGTGACTGCAGTTCTATACAGGTTTTTTACTGGTGACCTTGACTGCTTCTTGCCCTAATCTGCTCTACCCAGGAAAGATCAATCACAAGATCAATCACCGCCTCTCTCAGCCCAGCCTCTTTTGTCCCCCAATACTCTTTCTTCCTCTCCAAGTCTGCTTTTGTTATTCCCAGCTTCAGGTATCTGCCGACAAGGATTTAAGGAAGGTGTGTGCAACAGCTCACTCCACATTTGGCATTTCTTTCTCTCCTCTACACTTGTTTGTTTTGTACCCTTAGAGCCTTGAGGGCAGGAATTGCTTATTTGCCTGAGTCATGTGTCTTATTACACCACCTCTGCAACAGAAACAAAACTGTTGGCACTTCACTTAATCTTAAATGTAAGTAAAATCTGCAGCTTTTACCAAATGGAAGAAAAAACTTAACAATGAAGAGGGAGAGCAGAGACTAGAAAACTGAAGCTATGTCAATATTAACAACACACAGAAAAAACACATATATTAAAATCCATGATTCTGTCACGTGATCATTACTTCTGTGGTAATAGAAGACAGGCTTGGAAGAGGAGAACGAGAGATAAATAGTATACATTTTCTAACATACAATAATCCTGTAACACTGCATTTAAAAATACTATTAGAACAATCTCTAATGCTGCCAAAGCCTGGCCACAGGACTGCTGTGGCTAAGGCAGGGTTATGCTTTCACACAAGCTAACTAACACGGATTTCCTCATCGCTGGCCCTTGTGCAATACAAAGTCTTCCAACTCTTTTTTCTTGCTGATCGTTGCAGCTCTGAGGAATCTTTTTGCTGATATGTGATTTTTTTTTACTGAAATGACTCTGCCGTTGATAGAAAAGGCTTTAATATGAACCCGGGACAGAGTGACCTGAAACCAGGATCCCTTCAGTGCTTCACCAAAACTGTACATTCTAGTAAGGCCTATCCCACTTTGGCCAGGTACCAAAGGAGCTACTGAAGGTTAACATGCATTTAGCAGAGCACTAACAGTGCATTACAGGGTGGCCCTCCTGTAAGGGAAGGGAAAGAGGAACCCTCCACCAAGATCCCCTTTCTCCCACTGAACAGGACAGTTGTCATGTGCTCAGTCTGGGGTGAACCTGCACGTGGGTTAATGGCCAAGGTGAAGTACCAAACTGCTGAAAGTTTACTATGTTTTGCTGCTTTCTTATACAGTACCTGCTCATCACCAAAGATTGCTACTGTTCTTGCCTGTCTTCCATAGTTGCCTCGGTTGCCTAAAACAACTCTGGCCATAACACAGCTTTACCCTATACTTGGACTAGTCACATATAAATAAGTCACCAGATGTAAGACTCCTATTTCTGAACACAATGAATGGCCCTTCGAGTAAGAGCCAAGATTGCTCTATACAGGCAAACAGCATCAAAGTCTTCAGGGAGTTAAGCACCAACAGAGCAAAGGTTGTAAGTCCCAGAAATGCTTATTCATTGCAATGTATATATTTAGGCACCTCACAGTCTGAACATTTACATGGGAAAGGCTTAGAGTTTGTCCAGCACAGTTTGTTTTCCTTTCTGCTGGTGAGAGAAGAATCACTTCCCTGCCATATATACATATGCTGAGCAGACAGGAAGCCCTTGAAACAAAAGCAATTCCCAACGTAAAGATTATTCTCTTCAACCAAGTCTTTTGTGCTTGCATATGCAAACTCACCATCTTTAGGACTTTAAAAAAAAAAACAAACATAAACCTTCAATCAAATAGAATTGGCTGTAACACCCATTTTTTAAAAACATGGCCAGGTATGTTTACCATGTAAAAAGGTATGAAAGAGAAGTTACTATGTCAATCAATCATTCACTTGATAGTTTATCAGTGATGGTAGTAAGTCCTGACCATACACACCTGTGACACAGCTGGAAAGAGATGCTCTGCAAATACACATACTACCCACATGTTTGGACAAATCCTGAATAAGGCTGTGAACACTGAATCAGGGAAAGACCTATCATCAGCTCACAACAGATACTCAGTTACAACGTCTCAGAAACCTCCCAAAAATTCTTAAGTTACCAAACCTAGACAAACCCACATCATTAATACTAACCTAGATTTTAAACTCAGTCATATTAAAGAACTGTGCCAGCTCCAAGTGGAAAACAATTTGCCACTATATTCTTCATACTTCTAATTTATTTTTATATTTCCAAGGGAAAAAACAGAAGCAAGCTCACAGCATGGACTTTGTGGTGACAGTCCTGATTTAGCAAGAGGTGCGGTTGGGAGTGCACGAAGGAACATCTGGTGAAATTTGTAGCATAAGGCTCAAGTAAAGACAGAAGGGTCTGTTCAATAACTTGTTTTTTATCCTGGGGCAGAAAAGTGAAAACCTCCCAAAAGGGAGGCACACGCCAAACGGCACACTCTTACCTGCAGATCTGCACCCACGTGTACTCTTCAGGCGCGACCTACGGTCACGCCTAAACAGACTGTACTCAATACATGACACTTAAAAACACATAAGCAACGAAAATCAGTACCAAGCGCCGGTGAGCCGAGGCTCTCCGGCCTGAGGGTCTCTCCGGCCCCCTGCGAGGCGTTGCCGGAGTGGTTACAACCGCCCGCAGGTACGACCGCCCGCAGGTACGACCCCCGCAGGTACGACCCCCGCAGGTACGACCCCCGCAGGTACGACCCCCGCAGGTACGACCCCCGCAGGTACAACCGCCCGCACCCACCGCCCGCGGCACCGGCAGGACCCTCGCACCGCCGCTGCCAAACCAAATCAAACCCTGGCTCGGGACGGGCGCCCCGGGCTGTCCGGGAGGGGACCCTGAGGGGTCCGGCCGCCGCAGAGGGGCCCGGGTGTCATCTCGCCCCTCGAGGGGCGAGGTTCAGACGGACTGCCAGCGTCACGACAGCCCAGGAAGGAAGCTGCTGCAGGCTCCCGCCTCAGCCGGGGACTGTCAGGGCTGGGGCACTCACATGTGCTGCCGCTGAATCACCCCTTAAAAACAACTCACGGCGCTTATCGCGCTTCCTTCCCGTACAGCCGCAGCCCCCGGGGCGCCGAGGCCGCCAGCCCTGGATGCTGCAGGAGAGGCGCCGCCGGCAGCCCCCGCGCCGAGCCCCGCCAGCCTCCCCTCAGGGCGGGGGGAGCCCGGGACGCCCCCGCAGCCCCGTCCGGCCGTGTGGGCGCGGGCCCCGCGTTACCTCCGCTCCGTTACGGCCGCGGCCGTTTAGGGGATGCTCGCCCGTTGCCACACGTGTGATGGCGGCCGCGCCGCCCCGCCCCGCCGCCCCGCCACCGCCTCCCCGCCACCGCCTCCGTCGCTTCCCCGCCCCTCTCCGGTAGGAATCGGCCGCTATATCGCGCCCGACGGGAAAGCCGCGGGGTCGGTGTTGCCGCCCGCGCCGCCGGGGCCTCGCCGGCCCGGCCGCCACCCGCGGCGGAGGCGGGAGGTGCTCGCAGGGCCCGAGCTGCCCCGCGCCCCCCGCGGCTGGCGCCGGCCCCTCCGCGACCGGCGGGTGAGGAGAGCGGCGAGCGCTTCCCCCGGAGCGGGGGACCAGCCGCCTGCCTTCCCTCGGGGGCAGGATGGAGAGCAGCCGTAGCGCTGACGGTACGAACGCGGAGCCCTGTCCCGGCCCGGGCCCTCGGTCCCTCAGGGCGTCGGGGGCACTCCTGAGACCCGGGGACGGCGCTGCACAGAGTTAAACCCGCACGAGTCACACCTGAGGGACCCTCGGGCTCGGGGCTGAGGGGCCCAAGAGGGTCGAAACGGTAAAATGCGGTGATATTTTGGGTTGCCGCTGCATAGGTGATAAGCGCCAGTCATAGCTGACGTAGAAATTAAAAGGGAACCCTTAAAATACTCCCATTAGCGTGTTTCAGCCCTCAGGAGAGGCACAGCTACGCCCGAAATTTGGCTCTGTTAAAAATTTGGCTCTGTCTCCCAGAATCACGATTTAAAATGGCCCGTGGTGTCTGGAAATAATGGTGAGCAATTTGCCGTTCAGCAGATTTATCTTGGTAGTGTAATTAAGGCTTTATTGTCTTCCTCTAGCAGGTTAATAGTTTTCCCAAGTCTAAGGCAGTGAACCCCAGGCAACAGCCCCCTCTTAATGTTCTTTTATTGCCCTTTTTGCTGTTACCTGCGAGGCAGAGGGCTCAGGAGACATCAGTCTTTGTCTTGCTCTAAACAATATAATTACTCCTCCACCGGTCCAAGCTTATTATCTACAGTCTCAGATGAGTCAGAGGTGGCGTTTTTCAAGAGGGTAAAAACCTTGGGGGCAAATAAAAATTATAGGCTATAAAAGAGAAGAGAAAGGCAAACTACGGACTGTAATATCTGTAAGTGTGCCAGTAAATGTCATAGTGGAGTCCAATTCTATTGCCACAAGGCTTACATTTCTAATTTCCATCCTACTTCATCTCTCAAAGCTTGTGTGTTTTATCAAAGAGTTGTTTTCCTTCATTGTCACGGAGACAATCAGGCTACCAGGCGACTGCTGCCCCCCTCTACACCTCCAGATATTCCTTACATTGGGTTTAGACAACAATGAATTAAGAAAGTTGTTTTGTTGTTTTGTTTTGTTTTCCTGGAAGTTGGCTTTTTAAGTGCATATATGGAAGAGAATTACATTAGACTTAATTTCTAAACTAGACAGCACCATAGCAAAACAAACTGTCATTTGCAGATCATAATCTGAAGAGCCTGATCATCTCAGCTCTTTAATTATCTTTGTCTCAACTCTTTGTTTGGCTTTTGTCAAACACAAACTACACTAAATCTATTACCTCCTAAAACTACTGACAGTGTTGCAAAGCAGCAAACAAAACCAGTCTGCTGCCTTCTGGGAGCTCAACAGTCCTGATAGGCAATGTCTTTGTTTTTAAGCCACTTATACTGCACTGACAGAAGATAAAAAAACCCTAAAAGACATCCCGAGAGTAGAACTCCAATTCCTGCCATCTGAAACTAATTGCTGTTATAAAGGTAATATGAACCAGAAAACAGTCATGAGGTGTTAAGTCATTGCTACAAATATTGCTGGTGCTCTGTGTTCTGTAGGACTGACAGAGCATCTCCCAGGGAGGTGGGGATTTGCACCAGTCGTCTCACACATTAATTAAAACGTGGATTGAGTGTGAATGCAAAAGATGCAGCTGATTTCAGCTGTTGCTAGACTGCCTTTTAAGCTCTCTCATAATTGAATCTACTGAAGAAAACATTCACTCCTCAAAAAATGCACTCATAAAATGTGAACTAATTCTAAAATTGCCTTTAGGAACTGAAGAGACATAGGAAACAAATTATTAGGCATATACTGGAAGTATAGAGGATGACATTTTATTTTAGAACCTCGAAAAATATTTATTGGAAAAAATGCCCATTTGGTGATTTCGAAATAGAAGTTCACCTTCTGAATTCTGAAAACTTAGAACACTGTAGAGGTTGGTATGAGAGATCCAAGTTAGGACAGCATCAGAAGGGTAGATGATGCTTCTAAAATGTTTGCAGGTGACCAGAAGCAAACTTCAGAATAATCATCCAAATAGATATTTTTGTCCATTTCGGAAAGGTTCATACTTTATAAATTACTTCTTCAGTTTCACTATGGAAGCCAAATATAAGTGTGGACTCCTTAGTTTATTTCTTCTCTTCTTGTTACAGATGACATAAACTGCCTGGTTCATCCCTGGTGCTCCATGAATGGCCACTGGTAAGTTATGTTTACACAGAAGTGCTATTCTCTAAGCAGTAGGAGAGAAAGAAAGCTTTAAAAGACTTTGTTTCCACTCGGATTTTATCTGATACTAATTTAATCAAGTTAAAATTTTATCTCCTTTAGCTAATCAGAAGGAAGTCAAACGGAGTTTTGGTTAAGTCTGTGGGGTTTGCCCTATCTTTTTCTTTTTGTCTAATATTCCCAAAATCTTCGCTCGCGAAGACTGGCCATTAAAAAAATTAAAAAAATATTGCCACTTAGATACATCTGAGAAAATGTAATTCAACTCAAAAAGCTTGAAGAATAAGCAGATTAAACACTCCTAAACAAACCAAATTGAACTTGCATCAGATTACAGGAAGCCAAGTCCACATGATATTCACTAAGTGGTTTTAGAACATGACAAACCCAAGGTAAAAATTGCTGTTAAATCGAAGTGAATCTGAATCCTTAAACTTTGGCTTTGTGAACACAAGTTCATTCTGGTGTTCAGAGTGAGTTTAAGCCTATCCTTAACTGCATAAGTCTCCCAAGAACGTGTTGCTCACGCACTTAATTCATGGAAGAACGAGCATGTCCTGAGCTCCTTAAAGTCAGCCCTGAAGGTGTGTTGTGTGTGTGTGACTGGGACTCATTGCAACAGGGACCTTATGCTATGGACTGTAATGGACATTTGCTTCCAGCCCTGGGTTTGACAATTTGTATTGGTTCCTTTTGAAATTTTACCATACACAGTGAGTCCTGGCACCACCTTCATGCTTCTTTTGAACTCTACATTCTGTGGACACAAGAGTTATTCATAGGGATTATAAAATTTTTGGGGACAATAAATCTGTGACTTTAGCCAGCTCCCAGGAAATTACAACTTTTATAAGTACTTAAAAGCAGAGATTATTTTTTTGTAGTTTTTCAGCCTTCATGATCTCAAAGAACAGTGTCAGCCACATATTCAGTAGTCTTTCAGGGGAGCAACAGAAACAGTTTAAAAAAAAATGCAAGTGTCCCTGTTTCTTTTCTTTGGTTACAGCTGAGTGACTGTTTACAAACCCAGATTCACTGATCCTTTTCCTCTTCTTTTTACCACCCTCTTTCCATCATAGAAATTTCTACTCTAGGTGGTTTAGGCAGAGTAAGTGTTATTTACAAATGAGAGTGACTACAAGCACCAAAGTGCTAGGCAATTAAAGGGAAAGGTCTAAATTTAGGCTTCTAAATTTATCTTCCCCTGATCCCAGCTGTATGTCTCCTCCTATTCCAATGGCTTTCAGCATCTGACTGGCTCTGGCTCTTGCCTGGCCCCCTCTGTGAGACAATTCTGCTCACTAAGCTGGCAGAAAACAATACTTTTGTGAAGATAAGTTTTTGACTGTCATAATCACAAAAGTACAAGTGTGGAGTAAGCTAGGAGCAGAGAGAAGAGGAGGAGGAGGAGGTAGTGGAAAATATCCCTTTAAGGAACAGAAACTGTGGAATGTCTCTGTCTTGTCCAACTGCACTTATTTAAATACTCTGAAGATTAACATTAGTCCTTCTTTTATGGAAACCTTAGCTTCTCTATACTGGTTTTTAAAAACAGACTCTAAATAAGATTTAACACCCCATCTTAAAATTTATTTTTCTGGTCTGGTTCTGTTGCCTTTCGGGTACCTTTTCCTTTTCACTGACTCATCCAGTCTCACCAAAATTTTTGCTTATACATATCTTTGCTGCACTTGATTATAAGCTGGTTTTGTTCAGTGCTGTCCATGCTGCAGAACAAAAGTGGGAATAGATATCTTCTAATATATGGACAAGTTTTCAAATGTTATCAGTAAAACTTTGCTAGGAGAGCAAAGAAACAACAGCAAAAAAAATCCACATCTTCAGATAAACATCAAAGGTTTATAGTATTTTTTCAGAACTGTTTTGATTAATACCACACACTTTCTATTTTGATTTGCTCAAGTAATCTTCTCTATTACAAGTGGAATGTTCAATACATCAAGTTTTTCCTGATCAATTTTGGGGGTTTATTTGGAAAAAATAATCCCTTGTAGATATACTTATTTTTAAATAGATGCTTTGACTTGATGTTTTAGACAACTAAACCATTCAACTTTGGGGCCCTACCCTTTGATCATACAATTTGTCTTGTCTGTGTTGAATTAATTTCATTAGGATCTGGCTATTTATTAATGAGAGTGACTGAATCATGGCTTCACTTTCTTGGGAAACAACGTGGGAGTTAGAATCATTGTTTCACCAAGACTAATAACACTGCAGGGATTTTTAAAGATAATGCTCTTTGTCCATGTCTATTTTGAAGGCTATTAAAAGTGATTATGTAAAAAAACAAACTAAGGAGGATTTCTGGCTGTAAAAATAGCTTCTTAAGAATAAATATCTTTTTCTTGTTTCAGGTCCCAAATTAGTATGTGGGTACTGTGATTGAAGAATATGAAGTCCTTAGTTATAATGTTTGTAACCCAGTTTGACATTATTTAAATAAATTTCTTCTGGATGAGACAGTTTGAAGACATCTGTTGGGTTTGGCATTTATTTTATGTTGTGTAACTCTGGCCTTCTAATGTGACTGCTCAGACTTTCTTCAAAACAGCAAAATTTCTTTCTATTATTGTGAGTCCTTTTTTTTGATATACTTGTGGTACCTGTCTCTCTGTCTCTGATTAAAAGCAGGAGTATGGCAGCTTAGAAGATTCTGCTAATACTCAGCAGTAGTTACATTGATACCCTGTTTGAAAGCAGCTGGTTACTACAGGCTGCAGCCAATATCATCATTTTGTTTGTGTTATCATGCTGAGTCCAAACTTCGCTGTTTAAATTCGACCAGATGTTCCTCAGCAGAGCCACTTTGAATCCAGCACATTGCAGCACAGCCCCATCAGTGCTGATCCCACTCTTGCACCCTTGCTTTTAGTGCACTCCTGTTGCCTTTCTCTCAATTACTGAATTACCCTGAAATGTTTGTACAATGCAAATAAACTTGTACCCTTAATAAAAGGGTTCCTTCCCATTTTATTTAGAGATACTTTACAGTAGTGGGAACAATGGTTGGGTGAACACATAGTAAGGAGAGCCTTTATTCCCTAAACTTTCAGACTTCTGCAGGATTCTGTATTTGTATTCGATCCAAATTTAGGTTGTCTTTAAAAGTAAAGTTTCCCAAAACATAATCCCAAAGACCTTTCTGTGCACAGATTCCACACAGCACGTGCAAATCAAATATGACCTAATGCATCTTGCCTATAAGGAGAACAGACTCATGTGTATGTGAGGAAAGAGTGACAAATAAGTTCTGTTTCTGCAGTCTGTGTAGCACAGGCACACCTTGTAAAATAAAGAAGCCCATGTTGTTTCACAAATACAAGATCAGAGCACCCTGGACATTTTTGCTGAGTTCTTGCCCAAGACTTCATGTTCCATGAGTAAGATTTTCAGAATGTCTCAATATTTAAAAGTCCACCCTAAAAATTGAGCTGTAAAATATCTTAATGCCAAGAGAGTCTTTAAGATTAGGGAAAGTGTTTTATCAAAACACAGAGGATTTGTTGCCAGTCCATTTGCCTTTGCAGTAGATAGGATCTCTATTAATGGATTTAGTCTTTTTTCTGCCAGCACAGTCATTCCAGTGTCTAATCCACTCTTTGCTAATATTAGAAGGTATTCAGGCCTGAAATTAAAATGATGGTTGGCTTTGCTAACTTTTCAGAAATGATTTCTCAGCAGTTTATTTGAGTGTTTTGCACTTCCCTCCTTTGTTCCACACTTGGCTCTTGATTAGTTGGTGTGTCCAGTGTCCCACAGAGCAAGTCGTAGTGGACTAATTAAGAACTACCAGGAGTTTCCCAAGTTATGCAAGATCCCCACAACTATGAAAAGCCTTTTCAGCTTCCCAGTCACATACTGTGAAGTGCCATAAATCAAACTTTTGAAAACACTCAAAGCTGTGCTACAGACACTTACAGGAATACTTTAGTTCCATAAGAAATATTTGCTTTTGTTAAAGTTTACTGCTGTTTTTTTCAGTACTATTTTTTCTTAGTTTAAATCTCAAAGCTACAATATTGGCATTCTTAATACCAACAACATTGATTTAATGAGACATGGGCGCTTATGCAGCATTGGTGACTGTTGTCTTCACTGTTCCATGGACCTGGAAGAGTAAGCAAAGTGAGAGCAAGCACTGTGTGAGAGCTTGGGCAGGATGAGAGAGGAAACTCCACCTCGTGGTTCCAGGTGTCGTGTTACTGCTCGGGGAGGTCAGGCAGTTATTTTTACCTCAGTGTCAGTATGGGAAAACGTGGAAGACCTCACCTTCTGTTGAAACTGTAGGAGATGGCAGGTTAATTGTTCAGATGGGTCATCAGTGTCATCTCACACAACAGACTGTGTGGCTGGAGTCCTGCAGGTGTCCTCACCCCACACCTCAGGCAGTGGATCACGGAGGCTGCTCCGTGTCACACTCCATGGACAACTCCCTAGTTGTCCTTATGGCAAAGGACAAATTTTATTACTGAAGTGTTGTATCACTGGGGAAATTGTTATTTTGGATTATTCTATGCTAGAGTAACATATGTTGTAGTTAACCATGAGGTTGTGTTATTAAAACAAACCCCAAATATTTATGTTAGGTGGCTGTGCTGAAACAATCAGAAGAGACAGGAGACAGCTACACTGCATGCTGTTGGAGTTAATCCAGTATATACCATACTGTAAAATTACAGCTGTGAAATCCTGATAATTATCTTTTATTTTGTTCTTTAACAAGGCTTCCTTTGTGCAAGAAAAAACATCTGTGATTAGATAGTCAGCTGTAAAAACAAACAAGAAAAATCCTCTCATGCCCAAGCATATCTTAAAGTAACAAATCATTCCTGCACCTTTCCCTGTGCAGCTGTCACTGTGCACAATTAACTGGTATAGTTAATTGGCACTGTTAGAAGCAGGAGAGGTCTGGCCACAGGCCAGGGGCACCTTCTCCTGCTGCTGAAGATGAGTGTAAGGAACATTGGAGCCCAACAGCTTTCACAGGTGGGGTTTCATTTGGGTGAAGAAGCTGAGAGATACCACTGGGTCTAAAACAAAATAAATAGTCTCAGACCAGCTAAGAACGTGGTGGACTTGGCACTGTCAGGTTTACAGCTGGACTCAATGATCTTGAAGGTCTTTTCCAGTCTAAATGCTTCTCTGACTCTAAGAATGAATTAAATTGCTATATTGGTATGCTGGTAAATGGGATAGAAGAAAACATTCCTATTGAACACATTAAAATAAAATAAAATTCAACAGCTGAGTTCAAACCCCGACATATATCACACAGAAAATGAAATGTAATTTTAGTTTTGAAAGACATAATATAAACTAGCATACAAATATGTCTTCTCTTGTACATATCATGAGTTCTCTACCCAAGTGAGAGATTTCTTTAAACAAATAAATCTGCAGGTTTGAATACCAGCAGGTGATTGATTTCAGTGGAGAGAAAAGGTTTCACCCAGACATACCAGACTGCATTTTAACCAGCTCTGCAGGAGTCAGAGCAGAAGGGAGGGCAGAGCAGTAATAGCTGGTTTTGCAGAAAGCCTCCCCAAGTCGAAATATTTCTTTGGCTGTAAATCTTTTAGTCTCATACAGGGTTTAGTAAAACCTGTCTGAGACATGCATTTATCAGAAAAACAATCAAATTTCTGTGTGAGGTCACGCCAGTTCAGCACAAGTAAGGACCTATTTTTTTGTCCTATTATCTTGTTTGCATTTTAACATTGTATGTCATAAGGGTGGGTTGTTGGTTTTTTTTAATATTCCTGCAATTTCATGCAAAAAGAAGAAGGAAAATACATTAGTGCAAAGAAAATCCCATTTTAAAAATTGACAAAGGGGGCAAGAGAAAGTTCACGGTAATAAATAGTCTCAAAATAGTTAATTTTTCTACATGAAAAAGATTACGTTTTTCAGTGGCTCTCTCAGCAAACATTTAATGGATTGACAGAGATCTTGCTTAATAAAGATTACCTTTTAATAAAAATGGAAAAGATTTTCATTGTATTTGAGAGAAGATGACCAACTATTATCTGCAGAGAGGCAAAAATGTAGGAAAGCCTTCTTTTCCTTTTAGAATTCACAGAAACACTGTAAAGGGTGGAAGTAATCTCCAGGGCTCTTTAATTCAAATTCTCTCTAGTCCATCGTCCTGGTGGCTGACTTGCTAACAGGCACATGACTTCACAGGTAGGTGTTAGTGAAATAAATAGTGAGTGCCTACACCACTTATAAATATTCATGTTATGTAACTCCCAGCAAAAATACATTCATTTCTCCCTTACATCGATTTAAACATTTGTAGTTTGCATAAATAAACTGAACAGCCTGAGGTAACAAAGCTTAGCAAATCACTGTTGTTTATATTAATTTTGTCAACTAAAGAACTCTTGATCAGGTGAAAAAACAAGTTCCATGAATATTGCTAATTTCTCTGGCTGTGGAGAAGGAGCCTGTCTTCATAATGGCCTTTAAATCTTTTTTAAGCCCCTGTTTGAAAGCTACTCCAGAATCACAAAGCCAGAAGAACAGAGCAGGTGCTCTCTTTCCTCACTGCATGCTCACCACCCCGCTCCACTCTTTGCTGTGCCCTTCATCTCCTGTTTGCTAGACCAAACACAACTTTATCAACCTGTCCTTACACATCAGGTTTCCTCCCTGCCTTTCTCCCCCTCCTGGGTTCTCCTCAGTCCATGCTTAGAGCTGAGGGCTGTCAAAAGTCTCATGCAGTCAGGGGTTTTTTAATTTTCCGGGTGTATTCCTTAGTCAATTCTCTCATTTTTTATCTTTTTCCCCTGGTGACATTCTAATGAGCTGAAAAAAAGCTTTGAGCCCTTTTTCGCCCAAAAGGACAAACAAATATAATGTTGGTAGTCATTCTGTTAACTAATATGACATTTTTTCTTGAAATCTAAGGGAAGGATTAACTGTACAGAACTTTCTGAACTACAGGCAGGTTACTTCTGAGAGGGTGAAATTCGTCTGTGCTTTCTGCTTGTATGGATTGGAAGGTTCTGCTTGCTATGTGATATTGAGGTATTTTGGAATGTTGTCACATTTCAAGGGGTGAATAAGTTCTTATTCTAAATCACTGCCATTTAATTCATCCTGGTTGAAGGAGTTCTGTAACTCTTACTTGGGATGTATTCGTAGCAAAGAGAAATAAAGGCAGGAAATAAGAAATACTGATCACAAATTTCTGTCATTACAAGAGCTGGAAACAGTATGTATGAGCTTCTTGTCTGCCATTTGTGTCATGCTGGGGTTAAGTAAAATGCTTACAATTAATATGTTCTTGCAGCTATGCTGACTTTAGTGTAACACAAATAACTCATTAATTATGTTCTTTTCAGACCTTGTCAGGTAGTTTAATTTATGGTGGACTTACCTTCAAAACCCAGGAGTTTTGTTTAACTCAGCTGACATACCAGCTGTCAAGTCAACCATGTGCTCAGCTAAGGGAATGTAGGACCAGGCAAGCAAGGAAGGGATTACTTGTCGTGAAAAGGAAAAAAAATCAAATTATGCTAAGGCCTTTTGAGCACCCAGAAAGTATTTTGCAAAGAAGGGGGCAGGAAAAGAATGAAAAGGAATATAGTGCAAGACAAAATTTCTTGAAGCATAAAAAACCCCAGCAGGCTGAGAGGCAGCATGTTATTGAGGAGATGCTGGGTAACAGCTGTATAGCACTGAGCAAACAGCAGGGAAGGAACCTTAGTCTGTGCCTGCCTGCAGGATGTTTGGGTCCTTCCCTAGCACAGTATTGGTACTTGCACTTAGCCTGCCTTACAAATCTGCACATGAACAGCTCCAGTGACTAACCCTGTGCAAGCAGGAAAAATGTTTACAAGGTTATGTAGAATGCAGACTTGAAACAATAAAATAAGAACCCTTGAGGGTTAGTATGTTTTCATTAGTGCTTTAGGGTCTGTACATTTTGGACTACTCACGTGGTGTAAAATTCTGTGTATGCCAGCAGTCCACTAATGCATTTTTTGAAATTTTGTAGATTAGTGTTTTATGAATATGCACTTGTTATCTTCCTCTGATTTCTCTGGAACTGTTTAGCAGGTACTGTAACAGCATTTGAGTGGTATTTATAGCTTTGTTTGTCTTACTCTCTCCTGGAAAAACTAATCTCTTAAACATTTCATTCCAGTATCTCAGATTAATTTTCCACAAATCAACCTCAAGCAAATTCTAGTGCAGACATTCTTACATTGCAGGAAGTATCCCAGCTCAGATAAAAGTGTTGTATAGATAGGACAAAGGGCAAGGGACAGTCATCTTTTTGCAAATCAGCAAAAGATAGCTGCAACCAGCATCAAGAAGAAAAATACATTACAATAAGTCAGGAAAATAACCGTCTACCTACCCCACTTACTGTTCCTTTAATAAGTTTAAATACCTTCATGAAATTTGAATATGACTTGTAATTTTTAACATCTATTTATTTTAGTTTTGTTTTTTCTAAGTAACTGCAGCAGAGAGCTTTCCTAATTGGTCCTGAAGTGACTTTGTTTTTTTATCCCCTTTGCTGTCTAGAGTTTCCCATGTTTTATATTTCCTTCCTGGAACTCCAGTTGTTCACATTCAAGCCTTGTTCCTTCCCACAGATACTAAAGAACAGTTTGATTCTTCTGTCTTTGCTGTTTATTCTACCCTATTTTGCAGTAGCAAGGTAACTGCAGCACAAGGGCCATAGGATCTCAGCTGGAGAGCCAGCCTGGGCACACTCAGAACACCCCAGGCTTTGAGCAGCTGGATGTTTCACCAGCCTGGGCACACTCAGAACACCCCAGGCTTTGAGCAGCTGGATGTTCCACCAGCCTGGGCACACTCAGAACACCACAGGCTTTGAGCAGCTGGATGTTCCACCAGCCTGGGCACACTCAGAACACCACAGGCTTTGAGCAGCTGGATGTTCCACACCAGTGAGCAGCATCAGACACTGCTCCACAGCCAACACACTAAGGCCTTAAGAGAGTTTAGATTTTTGGTGAGACAAAATGGTGCTGCTTTCACTTTACTGTATTTTAGTTTGGGATCAGAACTTTTTATATCAACAGCAGTGTCATTCCAACAAACTGGTATCATCCCTTCAAAACCATCACGCTGATAACTTGTGCTCCCACTGCTTTGATGCCAGTTCTGCATTTAACATTGGAGACTGGGTTTAGGCCTGGCATCAGATTATATTCTGAAGTAGGCAGCTGTTTCTAGGAAAGAGCTGAAACTATTTCTGTGTCAAAAACATAATGACAAAAAATCAGCATAGCCTGCCAGCCAGCACATCTGTCACAGAAGCATAAAGTGTCCAACAGAAGCTGATAATTGTTTCAGCAGTATTGCCAGTTTCTCTTTTAAAAACTGGGAACTGTGTCCCACAGGTGAATGTTTATTTGTTTTGCTCAGATTATTTTATGCCTTCTAAAGAGGCAAAACCCTGTGACAGCAGTTCTTTTCCTCACATCCCTTTTTTAGCAGAGACTGTTGAAAATTCACATTTAAAGTGTAGATTGAAAAAAAAATTAACTGTGAAATAGATATTTAGCTCCTTTAATAAGCAAAACTATTGTCAACACATCCTGATAGACATTGCTTTTAATCGTAACAATATTTTATCTCCAGACAATCTCAAAGTTTAATTAAGTTATGTAAAAGAAAGTTACGTTTGTGCTTTCAGCAGTACTGTAGCTGGAAATTTGATGTAACAAATTCCTTATCTCTTTAAGTGTGCCTAGACAACATATTACTGTACTTAAAATTGCAATCTGCCAAACTGCTGAATTCAGTGAGCACTTTGAGACTGCAGAGAGAACAAAAGCAACATAGAGAAACAGAGTAACATGGTTCTGTGTTTGAAATACCTGTAGATTGTATAAATTCTCATGTTAATCTGGTGCTGTGGAGCTTGAAATCCCACTGGGCCTTCAAAAAACTGGCATCTTATATCATCATTTTCATTATAATTAGAGTAATCTTATTTTCCTTCACAGTCGTGCTGGTTTTGGATGGGGTAGGGTTAATTTTCTTCGTAGCAGCCACTCTGGGGCTGTGCTCTGGATTTGTGCCGAGAACAGTGTCGATAATTCAGGGGTGTTTTTGTTATTGCTGAGCAGAGCTTACACAGTCACAGCACCCAATACAAGGCTTGAAGGGTCCAAGGCAACACCAGATTTGATTGGAATGTGCTAGATCACATTTATAGCTGCTCTTGCTGTTGAGCTGTTGACAGGCTCTGTGCTTGCCATGGGGCTTGCTGCCTCCTGTACATTAGTGCTTGTTGGTGGCTGGCTTTTTGCTGTCACTGCTTGCTGTACCACTTATCTTACTCTGCTGTGCCTGGGAACATTTTGATAACAGCAGTGTTTCTGTGTACTGGACAAACTGGAACTCCAGTGTGAACTCAAAGGGTCTGTGACCTGTGGATGAGTCCAGGCAGCAGCAGGACACTCCAAAGCATCCGTGCCCATGGATAAGTTCAGAAGAAGGCAAGGAAGCCTCCAGCACTCAGTATTCCCAGGCAGTCTCCCATCCAAGAACAACTTCCAAGTCTTCCTTAAGGCCCTGTTGAAGAAATACTTCTTGATTCTCTGAAGCCTTTCAATCTTACAAAACTCCTGGGCTGTAGGAAGGATTGACTTTGGTCGCTGGTATGAGGAGCCAATGTGAGTCACTGCCCTGACAAAGCACTGGTGCTCAGAGGAGTGTAACACTGCGAAGAGCTGCATCACAGCAGCAGCCTGTTCACCTCAGAGGGCAGGCTGGGCAGTGGCTGACTTGTCCCAGAGGAGTGCATTTGGTCCCTGACAGTGCAGTCAGCACCCCCTGTGCTGCCCTCTCCCCGAGGCACAGGCAGGTGTCCAGCAGGGCCCGGGCCCGGCCGGTCACGGTGGGGTGGGAGGTGATGGTCTCGTAGTCCGGCCGGGACAGCGTCTGCTGCGAGCGAAGCACGTCCAGCAGGTGGTTCAGGCGTCCCTCTGTCATGCAGCTCAGTATGCTCTGTCTCTGGCAGGTGAGGATTTGACAGAAGTTTCCTTTGCAGCAAGGACCTGGAAACAAAAAGTGAAAAGGAAGTGGAAGGGGAAAAGGAAACAAAACGTGTTAAACTAGTATTATTTTCTTCCAGAAGTTTTTAGCAAGTGGTAACATCAACACCAGAAACATAAACTCAGTAGAGGAAGGAAGTGGGAAGAGTTAGTTTATTTACATTCTATGTTCAAAACTAGTCCAAAGTATTTTCATCATTTGTTTGAAACTCATGAAGATCAGATTACAGATCTTTCTAAAGATCATTAAGTGCTCAGTTTTTTAGGGGAGCAGATTTTCAGGTCTTTTGTGCTATTCACTGAGCATCTGTATCAAACCTCATGCAAAGCAGCTTGGCTTGACACAGATGAGAAAACTTTCTCCTGTCAAAAGTGGAAGGACAGACAACAGCTTAGGGTAGCAGAAGCATTTGAAACATGTAGCATGAAACTGAGAAAATGAATATACATCAAAGTCAAACTGATAAGAAAAGTTATACTCTTGGCAAAATGGTCGAGAGCTTTGGGTTCTGTATCTTTTCACAAAGTGATTAGAACACTTAGCACTGATATCAGGGTTTTTAGTGTACAGGAGAAAATTAAGAACCAGAAGCCATGTTGCTTTGGAGAACATGCCTTTGTCATTCTGATTGTTGCTGTAGTGTTGTGTGATGAACTTTTCCTGCACGATCTAGTCTGTTGATTTATTCAGAAATTATGTCATCACTCAAGTGAATTGCCATGGAGATGGCCAGCTAGGCTGAGAACTATCATAAGCCAGGTTGCAAAAAGTTAGCAAAACCAGCTCCCAAAGGTTCACCCACAGGCAGAGTGAGGCTTTCCAAACCAGCAGCTGAGCCTTTCTGCCTCTGTTCTGTAGGGAGACCTGAGACCATGTGAGTAAGGGAACGGAGGGCACCCTGTCACCTGTTTCTGTGGTCAGTAGCTACTCTTGTAGAGGTATACAATGCACAGCTAAAGACTGCAAAACAAATAATCCCAGACTTAAACAATTAGTGTATTTCACACTCAGTGTGTGGTATATATTTTGTATTTTTATTATGGTCTTTTCAGAACTGTTCTCAGCCTCACAGTGATCCTGGAAAGAATGTTCTGGGCAATGACCCTGGAGCCAATGTTCTCAATGGTCATTTCCAAGACTTCTGGGAAGAGAGGAGCAGTTATACATAAATAGACTCGTGAGACATTTGTATCAAATTAGGAGCATCTATTACACTAAATACTTAAAAATGTGCACAAAATTTAGAAATATCTTAATATTTAGAAATATTTGAAACAATTTTATCGCTAAGATCTGGCCAAGGCAAATATTGCCAGCTCAAGCTGGGAGTGGTGCCTCACCTGTCACTGCTTGTCCAGGGTGCACTGGCTGTGGGCTGTGCTGGAGAGCCAGCAGTGGGGCCACATCCTGACTGCTTTGTGTGTCTGCAGCTGAACCAGATAAAGCAATCTTCCTAAACAAGTGTGGTTTTCTACTCTCAGAGCCTGGATGATCTAGAAAAGGTTAAGATGAGCAAGATTAGACCCTTGAATTGAACAACAACAAACCACTATCCATTTGTCACCCACTGCAGAAGACTGGTACTTAGGACTGACTTGAGAGTGCTTACTGATTACTGGCTGTTCTTCTGGCTCTTCGTTCTACACCATTATTCCTAGGAAGATTTTGGTGTATATTACTGCACACACCAGACATTCCCAAACTGCCTGCAGGAATTTGTTACTGAAGTCATGGAATGTTTTGTGCTGTGATGAGTCTGAGCTGTTGGTCAGAACTAAAGGGCTTGGAAATGCAGATGTTGCTCCAAGTGAATTGATTTCCTGTGTCTCAACTTTTGTATCCAAAAGCATGGGAAGTACAGAAAATCACTTATTGACACAAATGTAAACACTTGGATAGGACAAATCCACATTGGAAAGATAAAGGAAGTTATTTACATGGGAATGGTGATTATCAGGAATCATTCACATGTTCCTGGCAACATAGTCTTTTTAAAACATATCTCCTTTTCTTAGCAAATTACAGAAAAAGCAGTTATTCCTGGTGGCACAAAGCAGTGGGATTCCCAGGAGGGACTTGTTCTGTCAAAACCAACACTCAATATTTGATGTGTGAGGGAAAGGCAACTCTATATTTACAGCTCAGTATTCTAGAAAAAATTAGCAAACCCAGCTTTTCTATCTATACATTTAATCAAAAAACATTGTGGTGTCTCTGGTTTCCTGCAGTGAACTCACACTTCAGATGATACCAGTAGAAGGCACAGCTTTACTCTGAGAAGGGACAATTTTACGTGGAAAATAACATTTCTACATTGAACAACTAGTAATAGTTATGCTTTTCTTATAATAGCTGGAGCTAAATATAGTTCAAGATAGACACCTTTTCTTGTTTTTGCATTCTGTGGGATAGTATTTGACAGACCCATCTCAAGAATATTCTCTCTTCCTGCATTATTTCCACTGCTATCAAGTAGGCCAGTTGAGCTTGGCACTATGAAAGGAATTTTCTTGCTGATTAAGCGGTTGTTTTTTGGTGGACTGATGATCTGAAAGAGACCAAAATGGAGAAGAGTTACCTTCTTGGAAAGTTTTGTTCCAAACCCTTTTCTAAACAGGCGAGGTTCAGAACAAATCTGAAGTGGAAGATGTTGTTTTTGCAAGAGCCACGTCAGGGGCAGTTGCTGTGAACCAGGGAGAGCAGTGGGGTTTGTGGTTTGCCTGGGGGGAGTTACCCTGGGCAGGGACATTTTGCACTATGCGTTGTGTTTGCACCGTGCAGTGGCAGGGCTGTCAGGAGAGAGCTCCTGCAGACTGTCGTGCCTGTGCTCACCTCTGAGTTGCAGGTGCCTGTCTGCAGGGTGTACGGGGCTGAGCCTTTGCAAGCATCAAGCGCTCTCTCCTGGCAGGAGAAAGCACAGGAACTCCAGTGAGGATAGATGTGGGTTGTTCAAGAATTTATGCTGACAATCGATATTATACTCTAAGGTGTGCTCATATGTGCTGACAACGAATTGCACTGAGCAATTTTACATTTTAACACATGTCAGTGGGCATAGAATCTGACACAAAATTCTACCCTCTTACTGTTTCTGGTGTTTCACATTTATTTTAAAACCAATTTTTGACTCATGCAGGAAAAGGTGAAAATAAGCCTATATTGAGAGAGATTGGGCTAGCTATAACATGTTTTCCTTCAAGGATCCAAACAGCACAGCCATGCTGTTAGTGTGCCAAACTGTCTGCAATAAGGGTGTGTCAATACTTGTAACTGTTTTCCCATTCCTACATCCACAGCAGATTGTTAAACTATTTTTTAGTTTTTATACTTCAACAGTTGTGAAGAATTTTCAAGAAACTTCAGTATCATTTTCACAGTAATTTTAGACTTATCAGTTTGAACAATAAATAGTGCTCTTCACTAATTCAGCAAATAGAAAAATAAAACCTTGCTCAAGGGCAACCAAAGCATTAGATTATGGAATATTTGGTAATAAACTTCAACAGTAGTAAAAATGACTTTGACTATAACTATGCCAGCTACTAAAACATTGATCAAGTCTGTTCTACAGTCCCAGAATGTGATTGCAACAGGTAGAAATAATCCCTCCCACAACAGGCCCAGGCCCAGCAGTGAGAGCGAGGGTGCAGCACGGGCTGTGTAACTGCAGGCACAGTCAGAGGGCTGGGCTGAGGGCTGCAGCTCATCCCCTGGTTTCCCCACCACGGCTGGCTCAGTTACCTGGGTAGGAGACAGCTCTGTTTGTGGCAGTCACGGTTGGGCCAGATTTCCCATGGCATTGTAGACATACATGGAGTTAGCTGTCCCTCAGCTGTTGGCCATTCCCAACCCATCCCTGTGGTATCAGAGAACCCTCTGAGACTGTAGGACAAGAATTGCCTTGTTCCTGAAAGCATGTCAATGTAGGAACAGTGCAGGGCACAGAACAGTGCTGGTATGGTACAGCTGCAGCAGGTACAGACTGTCCAGGTCTGGGACTACTTGGTCTGGAACCAGTACACACAAAATTGTCCTTGGTTCTAGCCCTAATCTGAAGGACTTGAGGCTAATATTTGTTCTTACTCACATGGGTTTACCAGGCTGATGACAGGTGGTGACTGGAAAGAAGCTCTCATATTTTTAAAATAGCAGGTATCAATTGATTTATTTTCTAGAGACCCTCCCAGTATATTTTCTACAGTTTCTAAATGAGCCTGGAGTGCCAAAGGGTATGCTCCAGCTCTCTGGTGCAGCCATTAAAGCAATCAACACAAGGCCTTTCCTGGGTTTGGATCACAAAGATTGTAATTGAACAAATCAAGTAAAATCCTTGTAGGAGAACGAAACTTAATTTTGCACTAACCTTTGCATCCATCAGACTGTAGATTGCTGTGGAAATTACCTCCTTATTTATACTAGTCAAAATTCCATTTAGAAGATCTACACATTCTGCAGGGGTAATAAAGCATTATAAATACCACATTGTGTATGAAAACATATATATATTTAGACATCAGCATGTTGCAACTAACTTCACTATTATATTGAGAAGATGTATGAACTAGATAAAATGAGTTTAACACAACTTCCACCTCATACTTTTTCTTGGTTTCCCCTTTGACCTGATTTTAAAGAATGGTTCCAGTCACATGAAAATCATATTTTCTTAAATGTTCACACAGATGTATGAACTTAATTGCAGAATGTTTACTCAGGACTCAATAAATCCATCACAATAAAGCTATATGCAAATTGTTTCCTCAGCATTTCAACTTCAAAAGCCCTCAAATATCACAATTTTAACATTTCTTAGTTATCTTTTTAAAAACAGACGCTAAACATACCAATTCCACTGAAGTAAACAATGATAGCACACTTCAAAAGGAACTGGTTATGCATTGGAATTGAGAAATGCTAAGGGCAGTTTGATCTTTCTTAAGCTAGTGTAGATATATTAGATATGTGTATATATATGAACAATAATATCCCTTCCTGTATTTTTACGTTATACTAAACACAGTTTTGGAGACAAGTAAGGCAATTTATGGTAAGAAGTTTCAGTCAGAAAGAATATCTCAGGTGCTCCGAGGGTCTAAAGCCCCCTCCCACCTCAGCTGTGCTGGCTCTGGAGTGCTAAATAATGGTCCTGGAATGACCCTCTCCATCACAGATCTTACACAGAAAGCACATCCTGAATGTCACCTGCAGTCCGTGGTCTGTGAGCTGGATCCTGATGCCAGCACAGAGCAATGAGGTGCAATAGTCTGTCCCTCTCAGGAAAATTGCTTGGTATAAACTCTTCTGAAAGGCCAGGCCGGGAACTGCAGCAGATTCCTGTCAGAACCTCCAGCAGGGCTGTTTGACCTGCAGTTTAAAAGAAAATGTCACTGCAAAAAATATTGAAGACCTCAGAACTCTCTTTAAATTACATTCAGCATAAGTCATATTGTGTATTTTAAAACAAAGACTGCTTTTTTAAAAGCAAAAATGTATTAACACTCTTTTACCATAACCTTTAACTGTAGCTATAGCTACTTATTGATTGGAACAGGATATTTCAGGATAAACACTTCTGTCCAAACACTGAGTCATAAATGGATCTATAAACCTGCATTGTAAACTACGCGCACAGACACCTCAGGAATACATGTGATTATTCTAAGCATAGCTTTGTAAAAAGCCTCACTCTTGCATTATAAGAACAGAACTCCTACTGTACAAAACCCCAGCTGGAGCAGCCTCAAGGTGGCAGCCACAAGCTGTACCCACACGGAGATATTGTTCTGGGCAGTGTTTTTCAGGGGTTCTCAGTGTGTAGAATGCAGGAGTCCTTCCATCAATTTTGCCATGCAGAATGAAGCTTTCACTGATCTCCACTTGCACGAAACAGAGAGCATTCCTAGAGCCTCACACTTGCATCCTTACACAAAGAAAGTAAGGATGCTTCCTGAAGAGGATTCAGCATGAACTGACATTTCTTGATTGGTATTTAAAACTCATGGCAACTGTAAAAATTAGTCTTATGCCCATTCAATTACTACCTGTCACTTAATAACTGACAAAGGTGAAGTGATATTCCTGCTCCCTACAGGCAAGCTGAAACCCAGCTCAGTGACACGGTGCCTCAGCAAGCACAGGGAGATGCTACAAATGGGGGAAGAGAGATCACTTCTTTGGAAACACTGAGGGTTTGTTGAGAAATCCTAATCTTTACATCCTGGAATGTGGAGCTTTGTGCTGTAAGAGAAGGCAAAGGGACATCTGAAAAAAAACAGTGCTGTTTGTATCATAATTTCCCTAAAATAAGGGAATTTGTGGACAAGATTCGGACAATAAAAAGTCTGACATGAATAACAGAGATAAATACCTTCAAAAGGTTTCTGTCTGCTTAGGCTCTCCCAACACATTATTCCAAAACTGAAATAAAAACCCAAAACAGTGAAAGACCATTCATTAGTTTGCAATCTGTATCTGTGTTCTCATTTCTAAGAGCAAGTTTATTGTTTTAAGAAAAAGGAGTTTTTTCAAGACAGTCTATCCAAGGTCTGGCATTTTTACTGTAATGTCTGAAGATAAGTATTTTGGCAACATTGTAGAGTGTAGCCTGGACTAGGTATGACCTGCTCTTAAAATTCCATTCACCTGTAAATATCACCTTCCTGGGAAGGAAGGCCTCCTTCAAGGATTTCGGGAGGGAGGTACACTAAATCCTGGCAGCTCCTCTGGTTCTGCAGGGCTGACCTCAGCTGCTGTTTCCTCCAGTTGGTTAGACCATAATCTGATATCTACAGAGAAAAAATCATTTGAGTAACAGTACATCAAGTCTTGGTACTAAATGTTGACTCTTCAGATAAATATATGCAGTTGGATTTTACATTAACAGATGAAAAGTTGAGGCTCCTACCTTGGCTCTGTACTGTCCATCCAGAAGCACATTGGAAGGTTTCAGGCTGCAGTGGCAGGAGGCAGGCTGGAGGCTGTGAAGGTGATGCAGCCCTTCAGCCACATCTGACAGGATCCTCAGGAGTAAGGGACATGGAAGTTCTGGGTACAGCTGACGCTGAGTTACACAAAATACAGGGTTTGGTGTGAAATTGTTGCTATTTACATTTTCATTTGACAACAAACAGAACCACCAAACAGAAGCACAATCCAGAAACTGAAGAACAGATTGTGACCATAATTTACATGCTGATTGTTCTTCGTTGGCTGATCTTTTCATTAATTTTGCCAGCCAGAAGATGACACCTTTTCTGTACCTCATGGACGAGCGAGTGCAGGGATCCATTGTCCATCCATCCAGTCACCAACCCCATGAGTCCATGGCATTGGTAAATCCCCAGGGGAGGCAGGAGACGTTCAGACTCACAACCTCTGACAGCTGCTATATCCTGAAGCAGCAACTTCCACTCCCTGTAAAAAAGATCCAGTTAGAGGCAGGTGAGACTGAAGGGGGTTCCAGCTGGAGATGAGACACTGCAGGATGTGGAAATGAGAGGGAACCATATGGTTGATCACAAGGCAATATAATTCTACCAATAAACACGTATTATGTAATCTTCCAAACAATTCTAAGAAAATGAAGCAATCCTTTGTGTAGTGTATTTTTGCAATATAAAGACCTCTGGATGCTTTAATATGGACATAAGAGTACAATTTGAAGCAGGATTGAAGTGTGAAGGCAGGAGAAAGCTTGTACTGTGTCCTTTTGCTGTAAGTGACATTCCCATTTCCCAGGAAATGATGTTCTTCCATGCACATCTCACTGCACTGTAATCCTGCCCATGTTTCCTACTCTCACCTGTACGTGCTGGTTTTGATTAAGTTCAGCTGAGATCTCTTTAGGGACCTCCAGAAAGATAATCCCACACCATGCTGGGATTACTGATCAGGGTTTGTATACATTATTATAGTACACAATTAATTACTTCAGGAGTAAGCTCTACTTCTACCAAGAATTGTCCAAAGCCATTGTTTGTGAGTAGAGGTGCCTCCAGGCTGGAGCTGTGCTGGGGTCAGACGGCCCCGGCCCCGCTGCAGGTCTGGGCTCCCCTGGGGGTCACTTGGCAGATCAGACACCCACCTCTCTGTAGTGTCCTGGCTGCTCAGCAGCTTCACAGAGATGGGAGTGTTCCAAGAGATGTGGAAGGCTTTGAGTGCAAAGCCTGAGCCTGTTCTGGTCACTGTAAAGCTTTCCAAATCTTCCTGGGCTACCACAGGCAGTGGATAGGCCATTTCTTGATGGCTGGAGGGAAAAAGCAGAAAAGAAAAATGTTCTAAGAACTACTTTTTGTCATTACTACCAAAGCACAGTGAAGTTGCACCACCCCTTACTTCCCAAATAACTAATGCAAAAGCCTTCCTTTATAAAGACAGGAAAAATGCACTAATTGCCAAGGAGTGTCTGGACCTAACTTGCCATCTGAGGCTGCAAGGTGCTAATTAGTTGCTCATCATTATTTCCATCTGATGACTTTGAAATGTTAGGCCATTATTTATATTAAAAGGTGTGATTTTAAAGTGATACTGAATTTATGTGGACAACAAACTAGCATCTTACAGTTAGATTGAAAAGACAATTATTCAATAACACATGTCAGCATGTTCTGCATCATTCTTGCATATCTTCTTTAATAAATCACATGTGAATGCAAAAGCAAGGTAAAAGGCAAATTTTCTGCTGCTGTAGACTGGCAGAATTCTGATAAATGGAGTTGTGTCTTTACAGCAGCCCCTAATTTGGCCAGTACAGTCCCTGTACAGCCCCTCTCCAGGCCCAGCTGCACGTCTGAGACACTCTGCATGGCAACACACGTGGATTAGAGAGAACTTCTGCAAAGCATCACTGTCGTACCATGTGAGTACCAGTTTTAATTACATCTCTGAAGCTCCATTAGACTAGAGGTAACAAAAAGTCAGTGGTGAAGGAGGAAAACAAGCAGTCTAAGAAAACACATGGCATAAAAGCATTGGTAAGGATCACTGCAGGGTCAGCAGTCAGTGGGTCAGAACTCAAAGTGTAGCTCAGCAGACCTGGGCTAGAAAAGGAATGAGATGAGGGGACTCAAGTAACTGTGGAGGACTATTGAGTGTGAATTGTGCTCTACAGAAATAGTTCCTGGGATGCAGAAGGCCTGAAAGTCTTCTGACTTTGAGCAGATAACCTTTTCTCTACAACTGAAATAGAAACAAAAACTAGAAGATAAATTAACCCCTGATCTTGGCTGAACTTGTGGTTCATGAACAATTTACTTTCAGTTAACCTCAGTCTCTCCCTGCAGGCACATCCACAACCAGAGGGGTACTAACCTCAGTTTTGCACCTAACCATCCTCAAAATGCAAATAAAAACACAGCAGCTGATTTACCAGTTCAGCTTTAACAGCATTTCATTCTGATAGGAAAGCACAATTAAACTTTTTGCCTTTTGTTACATTATTGTAGCTTGAAAGCACTAACTGCCTTAGGTGCTTCTCTAAGGGCTTCCTTAAAGAATAAACCCAGTATGGTATGAGGCTGACAGAGAGTTTAACAGTTTCATAAAATTTGAAAATATTCCTTTGAATGAAGATAAATTTCCAAATGAGCCATTTATCCCTTAAAGTTGCAAAGATAGACCATACAGATCTAACAATCTTAAATATAAAGGAGGTAATCAAAAGGCTGTCAGCAGCAAAATTATGTCTCCTTTTTATTATATACAGCAATAAGTAATAATTTAAATGGCTAAAAGAATGTACTCAACTCCAAACACAGTGCAAGGAAGATCAAGTAATGAATTTAGCACCTAAACCATTCCTGAAATAAGTTATTTTTATTTAAAATTGAATCAGATAAAGATATAAGAATTTTTTAAACTCTTGCTAACTGGCTACTTAGATAAAAAATTAAAGCTAATCATCAGGTCCTATTTTGGATTTGCAAAACCTAATTTAACTAAGGATTTTTTAAAATCAAAATGAAAACCACTTCAACCTTCATAGTTACAAACCATGTCATGACATGCCAAGGACCATTCTCCCTGTGTCTGAGTTTGTACATCTGTTTCTATACCTCAGCATCAAGTGATTTGCTGAAAATCTCCAGAAGAGTTTAACCCTAACATGAGAAATGTTTTATTCATGCAGGGTGCTACCCAAATTCCTAAAGCAGTTGGAAGGTCTAATCATTGAATATGGAACTGTCAAGGAACTACAGATAACAAAGTCTCTCTGTAATCTCCAGATTGCAAGGTAACAAAGACATTTTTTCAATAGTTCTGCTCTTTTGAATGTTTTTTCTCCTAGATCCTTCTAAAATCTCACCATCAAATCCCCAAACCAGTATTCTGTAGGTGACCTATGCAAGGAACAGTTTAGTATTATTTTTCAGTAAGACACTAAGAGTCTGGGATAACTTTGCCATCCTGTCCCGGCTGTGCAGGCAGGGGCATGAGGAAGAATGCTATAAAGCTATTCATTTCAAGTTTCTAATTATAAAGTAATTTTTAAAAAATAACTCATAGCAAAGATATTTCCTTAGTACGAGAGAATCTCTATGTTAACATATATAGATGTCTCAGGAAAAGAAACTGGAAATAAAAATCAGCTTACCTCTGGAAAGAGAAGCATAAAAACTGTGGAAGGATGGAGTGAAACTGTTGCAGGTGTGAGCCGGCTGGGAGCCGGACTCAAACGGCCCGAGCTGTGCTGCTGTGAGCCAGGTCTGTGCTGATGTGCCTTCCCTCGGAGTCTGTGCTGATGTGCCTTCCCTCGGAGTCTGTGCTGATGTGCCTTCCCTCGGAGTCTGTGTGGATGTGCCTTCCCTCGGCTGTGCTGATGTGCCTTCCCTCGGAGTCTGTGCTGATGTGCCTTCCCTCGGAGGCTGTGCTGATGTGCCTTCCCTCGGAGTCTGTGTGGATGTGCCTTCCCTCGGAGTCTGTGTGGATGTGCCTTCCCTTGGAGTCTGTGCTGATGTGCCTTCCCTTGGAGTCTGTGCTGATGTGCCTTCCCTCGGAGTCTGTGTGGATGTGCCTTCCCTCGGAGTCTGTGCTGATGTGCCTTCCCTCGGCTGTGCTGATGTGCCTTCCCTCGGAGTCTGTGCTGATGTGCCTTCCCTTGGAGTCTGTGCTGATGTGCCTTCCCTCGGAGTCTGTGCTGATGTGCCTTCCCTCGGAGTCTGTGCTGATGTGCCTTCCCTCGGAGTCTGTGTGGATGTGCCTTCCCTTGGAGTCTGTGTTGATGTGCCTTCCCTCGGAGTCTGTGCTGATGTGCCTTCCCTCGGAGTCTGTGCTGATGTGCCTTCCCTCGGAGTCTGTGCTGATGTGCCTTCCCTTGGAGTCTGTGCTGATGTGCCTTCCCTTGGAGTCTGTGCTGATGTGCCTTCCCTCGGAGTCTGTGCTGATGTGCCTTCCCTCGGTGTTTCCTGGTTCAGACTGTAACTCTTCAGTGACCGCACACGAGCGCGATTACACACGCAGGGCTGGGAGAGCCGCTTTTCCCTCAAGGAGGAATGCCAGGAGGAAAGAGCTGGCAGGGAAAAGCACCGAAAGCTGGCAGGGAAAAGCGCCGTGTTGGATCCAGCCAGGCTGGAAAGGGCAGGGCTGCACACGCTGGCGCTGAGCTCTGCCCTGGGTCAGGCTGACAGCACAAGTAAAACACCCTCAAACTCTTTAAACCGAGTCGATCTTAAAACAGGAAATAAGTGCCGGGTTTCTGTAGGTGTGGGCACAGGGGCGAGGGGGAGTCACAGAAATCTGGCTGTGCAAGAGCCCTGCTGGAGGGGGGGTTCTGTTGAGAGTCAGGGTGCCCTCATCACGAGAGGGGCAATGGCACACTGGGCACACCAGAAATGCAGGCAGGGAAGGGAGAGCAGTCACCACACCTCAGGAGTCAGGAATGGTGGAACTGCAGCTGAAATACCAGAGTCAACTTTAGGGCCCTCAGTTCAAAGCGAATGTGGACAAACTGAAGAGGATGCAGCAGAGCCACCAAGGTGGGGCCCTGGAGCACAGACCTGCCAACCAGGGGCTGAGTGAGCCAGGGGCAGGAGGCCGAGGGGATATCAACTAGAATACCTAGGTCAGGTATGAAGATAGACAAATTCTCTCCATAGTGGCAGATAACCACCAGTGGCACAGGCAGATGTCTCTGATTCAGAGGTTCAAGCCAGATGCTAAAAAAAGCATTCACTGGTGGGTAATGCAGTACTGGAATGGGCCACTCAGGCTGCAGAGTTTCCATCCTTTAAAAGGTTCTCTAGACTTTGCTAGACAAACCATGGCTGACCTGACCCAGCACTGCTGGTAGCCCTGCTTTGAGCAGGAGGCTGGGCTAGAAAATGCCAAAAGTCCAGTGTATTTTTAATTTTGTGAAAACTCTATAAGGCCTAATTGTGTCCCTGCTGGGCCCCCGACATGTACCTTCCCACTGAAGGTTGGTGGGACTGCTGGGTGCAGGGTGGGGACTTTAGGAAAGAGCAGTCCTTTCAGCTGATCACACTTGTGCAAACTTTCTGCTCCGGGAAGTTTTTCTATTTATAGAGGCTGACATAAAACCAGTGTCAGTGAATGAAATTCTGTCCACACACTTCTGTTGGTTTTGGATCAAATCCTAACCCCCTCCACAGGGAAGGAAGGAGCAGCAAGGCAGTTACCTAATCCTCCTGTGACCATGGGAAATTCCCTTTCATCATAGAATCCTGTGGCTGGTGCTGTGTGGCCCCAGAGGAGGCTCTGCAGGGGAAGTGTGCAGGGGGTTGTTGCTGACAGCTCTGACCAGCATCAGCTTTCCCTGCCCAGCACACCCCTCCAAAAGTGAAACCACTCTGGGGGAGCAGTAGCAGCAAAAGTTAAAATAGTGGGCTGGAACAGTCCTAGAGAAGGCTGGAAGTATGTCAAGTTGTTTTGTTGTGCCACAGGATCCCCTTCCCCTTGGCTTTATCCACACCACATTCATTTTTGTCCAGAGCCTACATTTCCCTAAAAAGTCCATTAAAAATGTTTTGACCTGTATAAAGAATTGGCCTGTCAGGCTCAGACTGAATCACAACTGTTCAAAAGCCTTTCAGCTAATTAAAGGAAGTTCTTCAGGGGAGTTTGTAGACGAGTTTAAGGAATTTTACAGAAATTCTTTGACATTTAAAGTAGTTTTAGGTACTTCTGTATTTGTAGACTATCACATGCTGGGGAAACAGAGTAGTAGAACAATCCTGCATTTGTTTACTCCTTTCAACTATTGTTTTCAGCTTAAAAAAAACCCTTCAGTATAAAACTATAAAGCTTAATTTTAATCCATAATTAGAGAAACCAGAAATATACAGGCCAAGCAGTGCAGGTCTGAACTAATTAAACATAATTATTATTGAACATGTTAATTAAAAAACCCCAGTATTTTCCCTATACATAATTTATCCAGAGAAGTTTAAAGCCTCTCTCATAATATGGAAGCTTATAAATAACAGGCAAGGAAAAACTTCTTTAGCTCCCATGAGGGCTGTCTTGTGCAGTAATTAGTTAAGAAAACAGAAGTTTAGTTTGACAGTCACACAGACTGAACCCAGTTACAATCAAATTCAGAACAAAGTGGAGCTTTTAGAGGCAGCATTAAAGGACCACAGCATTAGACAAAGCCTTAACAGAGCGAGTGTGCACAGTGAGAGAATGACACAGGAGCAGGAGACCAAAGCATTAGGATGACCCAAATACCAAAGCCTCTGATGCATGATCAGTAAACACTTCAATATTTCAGCACAGTTCCCAGCATCATGTCTCAATCTGGTTATTCCAGTTAAGCATCTGTGCAGGATAACTTTGGCAGAGAGGTTGGTTCAAAGGTGCCACTTTCTTTGGCATCTTGTCTGGGTCAGGAGGCCTTACCAGGAGCTGATGTTAGGATGCTGTAGGATTCAGATCTGTGGGTTACCAATGCTGTGGAGTTCATCTTCACAAAGCCTAAGCTGTAGTGCACGAGTGCAGCCAGTGATATGATCACCTTGCTCTAGAAGATAGGACTCCAAACTCCAGTACCTGCCCACTGTAAGGGGATACTTTAAAATACAACAAAATTATGGTGTCCATTTTCCATTTTATGGATTTGCAGTTGAACTAAGGCTTCCTTTTCTTTTTTCTTATATTTTCTTTTCTGTTTCTTCAAATGCCCATGCCAGGCTATTCTGGAAAATATTGCTAACATTCATTTGTCATTAGTGAGATGACTAACCAGGAGTATCACAGCTTCTGGCCCTGGGCAGTTTCCATATGGTGAGTGGTGCCAAGCACCTCTGCTAATTAAATTGTGCCAAAGAAAGTTGTTAATTCTTTATCCAACTGTTTGAATAGTGAAATCTTAAATGGGTATCACATAACAATTCATGTCAGTGGGAACAAGATGAAGAACTCTTAGACTGCAGAGAGCTTAGTGAATCATACTTGTTTAAAGTGCCCTAGTCCTCAGCCCAAGTGGTTGTGATCTGTTTGGGAACACAATGAACTAAACAGTACTAAGACAGGGTGGAGGAATGTTAAACCTCCAGGTCCATCAATTATGTCCCTGCAGATAAATAGTTCTAGTGAGCTAATGCTGAAATGTCAGAGGCCTGGATTGTGAGACCTTGTGTGAATGTGTGACACAGGTAGGAGATTATAAGGAGCTTTCAAAGCCTTTACACACACCAAGCAAAGCTCAAGCTCTTCTAGGCAAAAGAACACAGTGAGCACTCTCTCCTTGCTCCCCTAAAGACACCTGTTCCAAGGTGAGAAAAAGTGCAGCCTTAGTCACCAAATCCCCAAAAGAAGCTCTTCCTATAAAACAGCATAACATGAATAACTTTACCAATGCCATGCCTGTCTCCTGGATTTTTCCACTGGAAAGCAGACAAATTTTTAATTGGCTTGATCCCAAGTGCTGTGTTTTCTCTACCTGGCAATTCTGAAGTATGAAAATATGCATCTGAGTACAAATAATCAAAAATGAGTTTTAAAAAAAGTCTGATCTAAAATCAGTTCTGTTTTTTGGTTGTGGGACTGGTTTGGGTTAATTTGTTTGGGGTTTTTTTGTTGTTGTTTTCAATGTTGCAACAACACGCATGTGAAAGGCACCTGAAAGCTACAGATTTCTCCAGATTTCCTGTAAGTGTTGGGATAATCAAGCCTGCTTGTAGGCCACTTGCATTTAGTGCCAGAGACAGACTTCTGAATTACTGCAGTGAACGTCAGTGAACTCTCAGTCATCCAGGAAAACACTCTGCTTGTGGTGAAAGATATTCTTTGAATTTGGTCATTAGCATACTGAACTGGAATTCAGTCCAAGGCTGCTGGAGAGGAGCACTTCCTTCTCTTCCATGGAAAGCAGCCAGCTAACACAGAGGATGGAAAAAGTGGAGGATTTACCTTGGTTTCCCAGCAGTTTTTCCCACCACAAATCTCATAACCCTTTGCTGATCAAAAGAGCCTTTGTCAACCTTCGAAATTTTAGCTGGGCAAGAATCCATGAATTGCACAAGTGATGTGAACAGACAGCACCTAAAAAAATGAAAGGAGGTATTTCTATACCAAAAGAATCTGCTTATGGAACTTCAATCCTGTTCGAAATTTATTAATAAAGTAGTTTCAACAGATCTTGCAGTAATTAAGGGGCTAAGTACAAATTTCAGCTTTCATTTACAGGTTGCCAAATCAAACCCATGTG